GCACCTTTTTTAAACATTCTACTGGAGATATCGCAGGTTGCAACAATATCCATATTCTTCTGCGAAGATATCTGGAAAGACTTCGGCCTAGTGTAAATACCAATAATTTATTTTCAGCTGACTCATGTTTGCGAATGTCGAAAGCCTCTGTGGGACAAGAACCTAGGATAACAAGTGTAAGGCTCATGTTTAGCCAGCACTCTAACCCTTGGGGGTACAAGTCCCTATTAAGAACCGCGAATGTAACGAAAAGTCGGTCCTTTGGCCGCCCAACATAGTGCAACGTATAAAATCCATAAATTCTTTTATGGGCAGAGTAACATTACCGGCATTATCGTCAGCCAAAGCTAAACCCGGATGTTGCTACTCGAACGCGTGACCAGATTTCATAGGCCTAATTCCGTAAAAATCAGAATATAATCCACCAGATGACTACTAGGCACGCAGTTTTGTCTTTCTGCTCCTTTCCTCTTACCAGAAAATAAACCTGGCTGCGGCGGCTGCAGCAGGACTAGCAATGCGTCTCACCCAGCATAACGTCGTGGCAGGCGGTGGCAAACTGGATTCAACAAAAGGCCTGTTTGCACCAATGAACAACCAGGACGTCTACGTGCCCATCACCCCGGAGATCACCTTCCACTTTGAGAACTACGGGACCAATGAGATCCGCGGCTTTTACGACATGTTCATCTTCTCCCTCAACCCGGAAGTCTCACGTGGCCATTTAAATGTCTCCAAGATGACTTATGATGAAATTTTCCTCCTGACCGACGTGATTATTTGGCCACTGATTGCGGTCAAGAGAGTGGCCGAAAAAGTTTGGCCTGGGGACAGCAACGGGCCCAGTCGCAACCCCTGCCTAATTTATGACTGTGAAATGGGTAGGTTGGACAGCCATGCTGTACTAGACGAATGCGTTGCCCTAATGCCTTCTTAAAAGCACACACTCTCTTTTTGCATGTTATTTAGCCGGCAGCGCTCAGGCAATTACTCTCATTATGTTGGGAGGAATAATAATCCTCGGTTTGGCCAATATCGTCAGGATTGTTTACGTCAGGTAGGTCCCAAGAGGCGTGTCCACGTATGCAAGTCTTTTTTTCTGTTTTTGTAATAAGCTAAATGTTATGCTGCTTACACGATGGCCGTGAGCATGAAGTCGAACAAGTATCTGGGCAGGTCAAAAACATCTAACATATAGAAATCAACTCTTGGCAGGACGTCTCTCTCTCATTCGGAAATTACTAATCAATCCTTGCGATGGCCTCCAAAGCTCTTTGGGCTAACAGAATCCCTAAAAAACGAACTAGTTTATTCGCATAACTATTGCCGGAATGTCTGAATAACGATGTAGATTATGCTGGCTGCTTCTCTGCTAAAATGCAGAGCATTGCATGGCCATAGAAGATGCTCTTGAGGTAAACAACATTTGTCCAAACAATCGAATTACGCACAACCTTGTCATATTTGTAAGGAATTTCTAAGCAGGAAATATGTGGTCAAAAACACTGATGACTTCTGTGATTGCGTATTGCTGTGTAATAATGGAATAACAACAGGGGTTCCCAGGAGGTGCAGCCATTGCTGGCAGAAGCGAATAACGGAGTTCTAGGAAAAAATTTAGAGGTAAAAGAATATGCCGTCCCTGGAACAAATTGTTCATTAGCCTGACAATTCATATTCTCAATGGAATCCATCATCACAGAAGGTCGCTGATAGGGATATTAGAGACGCAAGAAATACAGTATTTATAGGGCGTCGTTGCCAGGCCACCATGCCCCTACTATAATCAGTAATGCTCGTGTTCATCGCTGGCAGTCTGATTGGATGCAAGAATTGCTAGTTAGCCCACATCAGAGTCGCTAATTGCAACATATGTTTCGTTGAGAGCAAATTTGGGAGCGGTCGCTATTGCACACCTTGGTTGTAATCATGCGAAAATTGATGGTCTACTACTACTACTGCTCCATGTTTGCCAGAAGGGGCTACACTATTAACCCACGTACGCATATATACGTAGAACTGGCTTACTTCCCAAAAAGGGAATTATAATGACCAGATGGTACCTGCGGCGTGTTGTACAGAAAGCTGTTCTGTTGAAGGGTGAAAGCTAGTCAACGAGGGAGTCACTCACCGCTATACTGTGCCTCGTAAATGTTTAAGGCAGCTCACCGTGGCGTCCAAGCATGCAATTGCACCGGCGTAAATCGGATGGGTACTATTATAAAATTGGCAACAGTGGGCAAATGTCAGAAGAAGAGGATGCAATCACTCGAACAAGAGTTTTATTTGCCTGACGTGTCGGATTCCGTCGGGAATCCCTATCTGCGCATGACCATGACTATGTTATAATCAACTGTGATTCAGGATTCCCGACGAAATTCGAAACGTCAGGCAAATAAAACTCTTGTTCCACTGATCGCATCCTCTTCTTCCGAACTGCTTCCTGGAACTCGCATATTCTCTACCACTGGCAATGGGCAAATGTACTGGGCAAGCCTCAAAATAAGCCAAAATCAGTTCTAGCTGTAGCCAAAGAGGTCATCTAACTGGTTGGAAAATATATTAGGCAGTCCACTAACGTATATTGACAATTTGACTTTAAAAGTCCTCCACCTACAAACAGAACAGTGGAAAGCGGCTGCAGCTTTGACTAAATTGCAAAAAGTCCCTGCAAATAAACGCATATTCCTAGCTGATACTGTTCTTCTTGAAGCCTTCATAATACAGATGAATAAACCACAAGGATTCTACCAATGATAGAACGTTCTTGCTTACTGTGGCCTCAAATTTATATTCGAAGGTGTCAACACATGCCAAGACGTTAATCAACATTTTGTGTTTAGGCGTCTACGACAAGAAAAGAAGGTTCTTGGAGGTAATGCGAAGCTTATTCTCTATGCTGATGATGTATCTTATGTGAAGGAAGGCGAGCACGTATCTACTGCCTCAGTAAGCTTTCAAAATCATGTGCATTAAATAAAATCCAACTACTCTTTTATAATGGAGGTAACTCTAAGCTAAAAATGACTTCTTAACTTTGCCCTTCTGCCATTTTCACGTCCGTCCCTACTACTTTGACATTGTGTAGCATAAGTAAATAGCCTAGAATAAGTCCTCATACTTCTACCAGAACGAATTTCGGCGGAAAACTCACTGACTTAAGGAAGAGACTTTAGCCTTTAGATGTTAACACCACGAAACCCACCTTAATGCTAAACTAAAAATATGACTTCGTATATTTGCCTTTCTACCGTTTTCCTGTCCCTACAAACTAATCCAACGTTGGGTAACATAAGAAGATAATCTAAAATAAGTTCTCATCCTTTTACCGGAATTAGTTTCGGCGGAAAGCTCACCGACTTAACGAAGAGACTTTAGCACTTCGTTTTTGACACTCCGAAATCACCTTCAATGCGAGACTAAGGCGATCCACAGTAAATCCTAGATATATGAAAAATTTTCAAATTTGCCATATGCCATAATTTAAATGCCGTTAAATATACACTTCTGTCTGGGCAAGGAGAGATTAAAATATGGTATGCAAAATCGAATGCTGTGTGCTGCATTTCATGTCTGGGTGTTCTGCCTTGTGCAACAGAACATAGTTGGAGAACATACCCTTTGGAAAACTTTTGAACGAAGTTCAATTAATGCCTGAGGGGCAGCAACCGCTGAAGAGCTGGATCGATTGCATGGAATTTAAGCTCCTGGAGACTACGCAAAACGAAGTACATGTGAAAGAAGCAGTGATAAGTCACCTAGCACCCGTTGGTGCAAAACCCGATGTTATAGTCAGGGCGGGCTCCTGGTCTTTCAGCCTTTTCTGAATTATGGGATTTAAATATTATACAGTTGAGCAATCTCAGTGTCTTATTTCTTCTATAATCAGCAGGGATAACCAACTAAGCAGAGACTATGAGTGGTTGATGGACATAGGGAGAGGGCTTAGGGGAGCCCTGTAGATGAAGCCAAGTAAAGCTCTGATATAAGTGGAATGTTTCATCTGAAGTTTCGGATAGTTGTCTCGTTTATCCATCTTAAGAGAGTAAATACTCTGGCTTCTGGCTCTTTCTCTCCATGCCGCTCCTTTCTTCCGCGTGCGTAGTCTGCCAATCCTGTTTGGGCCGCTCTGTGTGGCTTTCGTCTCTAAGTCTTAACCGCACGCCACCCCAACCGCCTGGGAACCGTCACCCGCACTCTGCTCTGCGTTGACACTATCTGCAACTGGGACGTCAGTGATTATTTGGTAAT